TCCGACCAATCGGTTTATTTTATTCTCTTCGCCAATTGCAAAACCGAGTGCTAAAAGTCCACGAACCACCCCTAGACCTTGACAAACTGTTGTTCCGTGTTTCGACTGACTCCTTCCAAGCCGCATCCAATGATCCGAGGGCCTTAGATTCACGACCGGAGGACTGAGTCTCTCGGGGAAGTGACTGAAAATGTTCCTAAACACATCCAGACGCTATGTGACTATCTCGTTTCATTCAAGATGGGATTTACTTGGAGAATTTGTCTCAGCTGTTTTTCTAAAAAAAAACCTTTAGTTTCCGCTTGTCTTCCAGGTACAGAGTCCGGATTTTACGTCCAACCACATATACGCCTAGCACGTCCTGTATGTTTATCAGGTGACCTCTTGGGCACCCTCAAATGTCAACAGAAAGCTTGTGGTGTGTACTCGGGCAATAACAGTCGTCCCCTATGCTGTCCAGTTGACAGTCTCTTGGTCCTATTATGCCTAGAATTGTCCCTTCAGGTTGATAACACTAATCACAAGGGGTTACATGTCCAAATCGAGGCAAAATTTCGAAAAAAATTAATTTTTTCCCCTCTTCGGGCGAATTCTATTGACCTGTCTATTCACGCACGAAACAGATGTGCCCCCACGCAGCCTTATATAGAAGACAGGAAGGCTATCGCTTGGACCAATTGTTTATTTATTCGACGTTTCGAACTCTCACATGAGCCCATCCCTCTCTCGGGGATGTGATAAATTGTACAGTCTTTCATTCCGCGACAATGGGCTCCTGTGGTAATCCGAAACGTCGGATAAATAAACAATTGGCCCCAGGAATCACCTTCCCATCTTCTTCTACTCAATTATCTGGATCGCGCGTATTCTCTATCTTTCGGAATAGTCTTGTATTTACTCCTATTTCTGACTTTTAGGTAGGAGGCATTCCACTCTCCGAGTGAACTCACTCCCTCTGACCACCTCACATTTTTCACTTTCTTTTATGTTACCAGTATTTCCGAAACGTTCACTCAAAGTGCATTTACATCCTCAGGCACCTGTCTTTCTGGGTATGCTTGCGTCAAACATATAAAATACATTGAAGACCTTTCTGACGTTTTATATTCTTATCGCTTTTGACTGAACGGGTTTCGGGTGTTCCTCTCCGTTCATTTTTAATGCCTTTATGTATCAAGACATATTTCATAGAAAGCATGCGCAAAAATATCCGCTCTTGCGCCCACTTTGTAGTGTATTCCGTTTTCATCAAATTCTATGCGCGAAGAAATTGTATCTTTCGACTTTAAAAAAATTCCGAGTACTTTAGGTTTCGCAAATCACGAGCTGTCCACTTTTCATTTAAGCAGAATCGTAAGTCTTTATATGCTATTAAAAGTGTATTGTGGAACGTATATCGACCACCTGGAGTTATTAAAAGCATCAATAAACGATCGGGTAAGACGCTGTCCTACATCTAGTTACTTGTTGTTTCATACTCGCGGTTTTTTAATCCGGAGATGCCGTTTCTTGGAGTAGAGGCTTTGGAGAAGACGTAATTTTCTAAAGAGTAAGCAAAAGAAGGGATGTTTTGTGCGCGTTTTCTATAAAGTATTCTTGGATGTTATAATGATATCGAAAATGAACGCGGAAGCTCATACTACTTAAACAATCACTTTTAGCACGTGATTTTACGGGAAGTACACCGGTATCCTAGAGTGACGGAAATATGTCTAGATGACGCTACCGCATAGTCAGTATCACAGCTCCGTCTAAGTAATCCTAACCGAAGCAACATTTAGGGATTTCGGTTAACGTTTCACGAGGTACGTCCCCTACCGTAAAAGTGGTAGCACTTAGAGCATTTTTGCACCGATTTCGATGTATAATTCCTCTGGAGACTCAAATTCTCAAGTTCATGCACAGGCGGTCTCCACTGTAGCTTATTTGAAGTGGTGCGAAACGCGAATAGACAGATGCATGTGGGTGGGACGGTGGGAACCGTCTTTACGTCTAAGACCCGCGTTGACCACTCTATACTGTGCTGCATCTAGGCTTTAGGTGGGGAAATGTGCTCTCGCATTCATGCTCTAAAGTTCTAGTCAGAGACACGGTCATGAATATGTGCGCAAGTTTCTTGTTCGGCGCCTCTGCACGAACACTTTGCCAAACGTGGATAGTGGATTTTACGTAAATATTGACAGTTTTTGACTGGTTTGGACAGGGCAGAATACTGCCCAGGATCCGATTGTTGGGATGGTCTGTGTTGATTTCTCAACCCTCGCACGTTTTACTTTTATGGGATTTCAGCGGATGCAGCGTCAGTCCGTCCCCAAAATCCCTAACATCGGGCAGAATGGAGCCTACATTTTAGGGTTTCCATTAGTGATCCATGAGGACGAATTTAAAGGCAGCAGAAGGAATCAGCTAATTTACCAAGAAAAGTTACGAAACTCATTAAGGGGCGACGCCGGTACAGGAATTCACGTCAGCGTCTGAAGGTTCCATTGCCCACCGGATGGTCTATTTGACCCCGAGGTGAAGGGCGATTAGATTTCCGACGGCCGACAACAAGTGAGCAGGCCGTCGTACTCAGAAACATTTCGGGTTGGTATATTCGAAACCTCACTCGGGAAGATGCCACTATGAGATGTACAGGAGGCTTTTGAGGAGGTTTCAAGAGCACGACACGCAATTATTGGCCTCGAGACGAGGCGCTCCTTGTTATCGGCTGTTTCCTGTTGACTGGTGATGGACCCGAGACATCGTTCAGATAATTCACTTGTCGGAAGCTTATTCTTCACTGAGTCCCACCTGCCACTATCACCTCCGGAAGTGCATGCTGCACTCACTGTCTGCGGAATAATTTATTTAGTCCCGAATAAGAGACGGGCACCTGCTGCAATGCATATGACTTAAGGAGGCCCACTGGTCCTTCTAATTACTACAATCCTGCATCCGAAAATGTCCAGTCACAAGCCGCAAACGGTGTATAGGCTGGATTACATAGTTCGCACGCCTATTTTAAACAAGATTCCTGAGGGCTTTACCTGGACGATTTGAACCGAATATCGGGCCTGCACTCCAAACCAGTGACCTTCAAATGAGACCCATTACAACGTGATTGCGCTATCCATTGTGCGGAATGGTTGGTCTGGTCATTCATTGTTCAGTCCTTTGCTCTGCTAAATCGAGAATAATACCTCCTACGTTCGCTATGACTCAAAAACAATCCAAATACCTCCAATGGCTATTAGTGTGGCGAAAATTCCCATTGAAGAGTTCAAAAGACAATTTGGCGACCATACGTTAGCTTTCGACAAATTCTCTTCAGACCTGTACATTTATATTGCCATCGAAATGATTAATAAGGAAATGCGGGCAAGTAGGCATTATTCTGTAGCCGGGTTCAGGGGGTTGGGTGAGGCGAAGAACAACAATACCCTCAGTGTCAGGGGGGAGGGGGATGGTGAGCACTGGTACGGGTAATTATATGTAAATGGCTGGCTTGAGGGTTTTGGCCCATGGTAACTGTGAGGCCTCTACGAAGTTCTTTTGAACGCACAGAACTGATTTGTATAGCCTGATTGTAACTGCCTTTGATGTCGCCAACGGACGCTGTCGAAGTGATTTTGGATATCTTGACGGAACCTTGTAAATCACCCCGAAAGCCTGTCCGGTATCTACACGGTGATCCGCGTCTATCATTTGCGCGAGAATACAGCTGTTAAAGTTCTCTATTTGGCATTTTCCTAACCATGCTTGAAGGTGCTCTCTTATTCTTTTTGACAAACGCCGGCTCTTGCGGTCAATATATTCTGCCCCACAGGAGTAGGTGAAGGAGTACATACACATAGAGGTTGTCTGGCCTGGCAGTTTGTCCTTGCCCTCTCCGTATAGGGTGAGACCGGTGGAGAACAGTACACGGGTGTCATCTGCTTGAAAGTTCTGTGATACAGCTTCAGTTAGGCGTCTTCTTAAAAGTTCACTTGGTGCGTCCCCTTGAAACAGGACTCGGAAAGTGCCAAATAAAGAACGCTAAAAGCTCTTTTCTCGCGCACATGATAGACGCGGATCACCGTGTAGATACCGGACAGGCTTTCGGGGTGATTTACAAGGTTCTGTCAAGATACCCAAAATCACTTGGACAGCGTCCGTTGGCGACATCAAAGGCAGTTACAATCAGGCTATACAAACCAGTTCTGCGTGTTCAAAAGAACTTCGTAGAGACCTCAAAGTTACCATGGGCCGAAGCCGTCAAGCCAGCCATTCGCATATAATAACCCGTACCAGTACTCACCATCCCCCTCCCCCTCGACACTGAGGGTATTTTTGTCCTTCGCCTCACCCAACCCCCTGAACCCGGCTACAGAATAATGTCTACTTGCCCGCATTTCCTTTTTAATCATTTCGATGGCAATATAAATGTACCAGTCTGAAGAGAATTTGTCGAAATCTAACGTATGTCTTTTAAATATCTATTAACCGGTAAGTGTTTCAGTTTGACAATCGTATGCTTGTAGCGTATGACAAAGGGGTCGTATTAAGCCCAAACATTAGACGTCCCACAGAGAGTCTGACAAACCAGCGACTTGGAGAATGTTGTTTTTAGTGCAGTAACTTCCAACGGGTACGAAAGGAGTATGCTAATTACAAGCAGAAACGGAAAATCGACATTCATCCTTCTAAATCCGCCTATGCATAGATGCCTTCTATATGGAGGGACCTGGCTAGCATGTTGCGTTGACTGGCCAAAAGGCATCTTCTAGATGACGGTCTGGCATGTCTACTCCTGAAAGGTAGGAGCGACTATTTGGCAGAGGTAGGAGACCTACAATGCCAGCTGGGCCGCGGGTGAACGTCGCACTAGGACTGGAAGAGATGTCGATATGTGCCCTGGTGTGTCACCAGGCCTTGTTCCGCTGATGGCCGAGACACGCCCGTTTTCGAATCTTCAGTTTGCTGTTCGTCCCCGGGGCAGACGAGGCGATCGGAGGCCAACTTGTCAGTTACCCAATCCCTTAGGTGAGAGGTTGTGAAGGGAGAAAAGATGGTGGCGAAACGAAGGGCTGGTGGAAGGTGATTGGGCCATTGCAGAAAATGGTGCTGTTGCCAGTAGTCAGAAGGAGATCTTGAAGTTGGAGTCTGGTGGTGTCCTCGTCACAGGGGGAATCAACCCGACGTTCGGTAACCATCTCAGCGAGGTTGATCCTGAAAACAAATTGGAGATGAACGACAAATTATCAGTACAGCGCGTCCGCCACCCCATTTCGCAATCAATCGATGTGGCTGATATCTCAGGCTAACTGGGGGATATAGCCCAGTCCACTGATCTCCCGCGGGTCATGCTTGCCGGAGTGCGACTGGAGAGACAAAATAAAGGATTTGGTTCGTGGACATGACGACGTTCTTGTCCTCATGGGGGCGCTGAAAGTATTTCCGGGTCAGGTAACAAGCCAGATTTGGGTGGGGAGATACCTCTGGTGATAGAGGGTGTAAGATATCGCATACTAAGAAGGACGTGCGGGTGCTGGCATCGATGAAGGAAGTGCTCTGCCACATTGGATCGAAACCCCGACCTGGACTCGATGCGCTAAGGTTGTTTAATGACATCTGTTTCCACCCATGACAAGGTAAAAGCAACCGCGTCTTCCTATCCACGGAGACGATAAGTGACAATGGAAGGACAGTGGGGTGTGATCGAGTGGGAAGTTCTTGGCAATTGAACACAGATACGCCTCATAGCTGTGCGTCGATCACGTCGGGGCCACAAGTGTCGCGGCACTTAGACCGTAGGCAGAAAGTTGCCGCTTCAATCTGCAGGCCCGATCACTAATAGAAGCAGAAATGTTGGACCGTCAATTGAGAGGGCAGTCTATTTCGTACAGGAAAGTTGAAGAACCAGTCGAAATAAGTTGGCAGCCGAACGAGAGAGAACGTCCGGAGCTGTGAGAGCGGTGTCCTGAATGAGAATGAAGAATATATGATAGCGCCTTATGCGAGAGCAGGCCTGAGTCGGCCTTGAAGATGATTGGCCCGTTTGTACAGTAGTGATTGCCTGAGAACCAGACTGCCACTGGTGCGTATGAGCGAGTGCTTGCGTGACATACCGCGTTGCAATAGTCTGCCAGGGTAGGAGCACTGCAACTCCCGTTCATATGTGATATGACGCGTTTCGGCAGGCGATAACTTTCTAGAAAGGAAGGCTAGAGGCCTGGTCTGACCTTCAAATGCTTCTGAAGAATCGCACTGATTGCAACATTGATGGTCTCGATCATGTGGGCAATAGGGACATCGATAGCAGAATAGGTCACGAGAATAGCGTCGGTCAGGGCGGAATTCCCTTGTCAAAAACAGCAAGGGCGTCTGGAGAGAGCTAGGGCGAGCCGCTCAGACCTGAAAGGAGGTTCATGAGCGGTAGAATGGTGTAAGCACAGTTTTCAGATAATCGTCGGATAAGTGTACCATGCCAAGAAGGCGCTACGGTTGACGCAAGGATTTGGAGGACAGGGACTCACGGAAGGCCGCGACCTTCGACGGGGGATATTTTATGCCAGCACAGTCAGATATACTAGAGGGAGGGAACGCCGAACATACAGTTGGACGAGTTGAAAACAATGCTTAATCGTTTAAGAGGATCAAACACCGTAGTACGGTTTCTATGTGCTTTTCCGCGATGGAGCTGGCTTACGAGAGGCGGTCTGTACGGGTGTGACAAGACTAGCAGTGAAGCACTGCCTACGAACCTCATAAAGGCCTGGGAGGTGTTACGTGGCCCAAACGACATTCGTCCAACGGGGACAATGGAGGTGATGACGGCCGTCTTCGAAACGTCCTCCGGAGCTATTGAGATTTTGCGCAATACCCGTGCCAGGTTGATCTTGATAAAGACGGCCTTGCAGACTAGGACACCAGCCAATCCTGGAGGTGCGGGTCAGGATAGCAGTTAGGGATTTTGCTGGTTTTCAAGAGCCCTGTACTCACCACAGGGGGTGCCGGTCACCAGTGCGATCTTAGTAACCATATGGAGGGACGAGATCTGAAGCGTATGCTTTAACTCGGCTTTGAAGGCACGCAGACGTACAGATGCAGGATGTCGTTACCCAAAAGTTTTGGAGTGCCATTTGTGAGGATGTGATGCACGCCATGTTTGACCTCCAAATTGCGGAAATGGCCGTTGGTAATTCTGGGATGTTGGAGAAGGAGTTCACGGCAATGGCACACTGTATGGGTGCCCAGAACGGGCAAACTGTATGAAATTGTAAACGGCGTTTCGAGCATGGGCGGGCAAGCCAGTTTTAATTTGGAGGAACAGGGCACCGGCGGTCTGAGAGAATACATACCTCATCTAAAAGGTCGGACGTGATGATTAAAATGACGACAAAGCTCCAAAAGGACGTGTAACGTAGGCCCTCATTCGGCGTTAGGAATGAGGGACATCTGTCAGCCTGGGGACGAAGACCATTGTTGGGGCAGCTATCGTGTGAGGATTTGGAGAATCTACGCTGATTTGTGCTCCAGTGGCCACGAGGGAACATCCGCAAATCAGACTGGCGCAAACGTGAAAGTGCGGTCGGAGTCAGAGGAAACAGGGAGATAGGCAGAACTAAACATGTAGGCTTAACCGCTTTATGCGTTGGCTCTACTTCAAGACGTATGGGCAAGAAGAAACGTATCGACGAATTGAGGCACCAGAGTTGGCCTAATTCCGGCAAGTGATGGTTGCATTGGGTCGTCACGAAAAAATAGGGTGGGCATACTTAACAGATGGCCTTTATAGGCTCCCGGATGAAGGGAAGGCTGTCTGTTGCCTCAAAGAAGCTAAATCGTGGGGCAGGTTTGATAATTGGAAAGTTCAAATGAGATAGGAGACTGTGGGTAAGCTGCGAAAGTTGAAAGGACGATTTAGGGTTCACCAGAACCTTAAATGTCCATTAGCCAGTTAACCATCTGAGTGAGTTGGGCAGCCGAAAGAGGGCCGGAAACGGGTGCCAAGATACATTACA